CCCCTCAGTCTCCTCTGCTCCAGCTGAACACACCAAGTGCCCTCAGTGTCCTCCCACGGCTCCAAACCCAGGCCCTTCCCAAGCTTTTTGCCCTCCCTTGGACACTCTCCAATGGCTCAATGTCTTCCCTCCTCCGTGCTGGGAATGCCCCAGGCCCTCCCTGGCCAGCCCCTCACCTGAGCAGTGGGGCAGGGCCCCGCTCCAGCGCCCGTCCAGCTGGCACATCCGCGTGGAATTCCCGACCAGCGTCCGCTTCCCGAGGCAGCTGTACCGGACCACGGAGCCCACGGTGTGCTTGTCCCCCGAGATCTGGGCGTGGGGAGGGGACCCGGGGTGGCCACAGGACACCACTGCAGGAGACACAGGCGACAGCTTCAGCCCCACAGCGTGGGTTGGGTTGGGAGGCACCTCAAGGACCATCTCACTCCAACCCCCGCCATGGGCAGGGACATTCCATCGGGCCAGGCTGCTCCAACCTGGCCTGGGACACTTCCAGCTTCTCTGGGCGACCTGTGCCAGGGCCTCAGCGCCCTCAGAGAAAGGCTCAACGCACAGAAAACAAAGACATGCAAAAATCTCTGGTTTTTTTTTGAACCCCACAAACCCACACGTCCGGTTGTAAAACCAACCCAAGCTTCCAAAGCTCTGAGAACGCCCACAAATCCTCCAAGTCACCCTCAGCATTTTAAGGCAGGAGATCCCTGGCACTCAGCTGGCAGGCTGGGGGCTGAGGGATATCAGGCTCCAGGTTTTTAACAGGTAAATCCCCCCCTGGAGCCCCCCCGGCTGTGGCACCAGGGGGGACGTCACTTCTCAATTCCCCTGTGCAGGGTCTGCAGGGTGAGGACGGGACATGCTGCTCACAAAAGGAAAGGAAAATGTGCCCAAAACTCCTTTGCATGGCCGGGTGTGGAGGGATAATACAGGGGGGAAAAAAAGGATCAGCCACGGCTTTGGAACAGCTTCAGCCAGTTCTGATTCCAGGAGCTCCGTGGCCATTCCTTATCCAGGGAATGGGACTGCAGCTGGTTTTGTGTCCAAAGGGACAAACTGGCTGGGCTGGGGGGGTGGGTCCTGCCTGCACCACCAGCTCACTGGGCAACTAAGATACACTTTGGATCCTGATTTCTCCCAGTGTAGGAAAGGGGACATGGGGACATCACCACTGACATCCTCCCACAATCCACAGAGACCTCCTGGCCTGGGTGTTCCACGAGACCACTGGGAGGATTCTGTGTCTTTCCACAAAGCCAAACCATCACCCAGAACCTCCCAATCCCAACTCTGGTGGCAGAAAGGGCCAGGATCCTGGGGAAAAAAAAAGAAGGGATAAAACCAGAGCAAGGGTGAGGAAGCAAATGCTCTTCAGCACCTGCTCTGCAGCAGAAGGAATTTATTCTGTATTTCCTTCGGTGTCATCTCCCTCCCCAGAAGCCCTGGGGATGAGTGGGAGTGTGACCCCACTCAGGGGTGTCACCTCACTCAGGGGGGTGTCCCCACCCAGGTGAGCTGCAGGTTCCTTCCCAGGCAGGTTTTTGCTCCAGAGGTGCTTTTGCCCTTCTCCCCCTGTCCTGTTTTGGCTGGAGCTGCTCAGAACCAGGAACACCCACTGGGCTCTGCCTTCCCCTGCAGAGGGAACCCACTTCCAAGGGGATCTCTCTCCTCACACCACCACCTTCCCCTCCATGGGCAGGACCTGGAGCCTACTGACAGAAGGATTCCCATGGATTCCCAAGGTTTTGACACTGAGCTGAGCAAGAAGGAACTCCACGGGCTGCAGCCCCGGGGTGGGTGGGATTGTTCTGGATCGTTCTGGAGCACTTACAAAGACACTGTGGGAGGGCACGGTCCCAAGTGCCATCCCCCTGACAGGTGAGGACGTGTGTCCCCAACAGGTAATATCCATGGCTGCACTGATAGGACACAGTTGTTCCAAAGCTGAATCTGTGGGGCCCGCTGGGCTGCACTTGCCGGACGCTGTTTTCCAGGTGCCCGGGGTCAGTACAGTTTACAACTGCAAACAAACAACAAAAAACCATCATGGCACAAACCAAAGGGGGTGACAGAGCAGAGGCTTCTCCAGGAAAGAGCAGGGAAATGGGGGGAAAACTGCAAATCACACATGCAGCGAGTTAAAGGTTTGTGGTTTTTTCCCCCTCCCGGTCTTTTGTTTTGTTTTGAGATTCTTTAGGGTGGAAATAAGAAAAAAAAAAGGTGATTATTTCAAGGAAAAAGAGAGTCAAGGCAATGCTGCAGGGGCTCATCTGGCCATGCAAGGCTCAGCAGCAGAGCCTGGATCTCTGGTCCCAAACGGGGACACGCATTATCCAGTTGGGAATAAATGATCCTAAACTGGGATATGCATTAACCAGTTGGGAATAAACGATCCTAAACTGGGATATGCATTAACCAGTTAGGAATAAGTGATCCCAAACTGGGATGTGCATTAACCAGTTAGGAATAAGTGATCCCAAA